CGCAAACAAGCTTTGGTTGCTAGCAGTAAACATGGAGTTACATTCTTCCGTCTCCTAGTAGACAATCTTGTAGCCACCTGATTCAAGTTTTTTGCACCAGGGCAGGAGAAGTCCCCTGAGGGACAATTTTCCCTTATACATTCAAATGCTCCATTATTCCACAGTGACCCTGAGCGTGGACAGCATCAAATACCCGCAATTCACTCTGTCCCACAATGCATAGTACCCAGCACCTGCAAACTCAACCCTGGCAGAGGAGAGGGTGATGTGCTACGCTTCTAGCAGCAATTTATTTGCAAAGCTATTCTCAAGGAGTAGGAAGCACCACAGCAGAGATCTCCATTTGGCAGATGGAGGTAGAGAGAGGAGTGTGAGGTATTTGGCAAACCTTGGACAAAAGGACAGGAGATTTGGTTGAACAGTGTCAAAGTCCATCTATCCCCCCTGTGTGGCTTTCCTTTACAAATAAATTGCTGTTCTCTGCACTCAAGCTGCCTCTTGCTCTGGAGAAGCCCAAGGAATTCTCTCTTGCAGTGGCATTTAAGATATGCTTCGTTACCAGAGCACAGGAGGGGAACAGCTCTGGAAGTCATCTCCCTGCAGAGGCAGAGGTGCAAGGCAGAGCATACAGAGGACATCCTGTCTTCCTGGTCCAAAAAAACCATTAGATGCTTTGCCTATTTTTTTTTTTAAGTTTGTAAACAATAATTGAGAATACTGAAAGGAACTGGAGAGATTTACAGAGGTATTTACATGCACTAGACATCTAGAAATCACCAAACTGCTTACATGGGAAAAAAATACTTCTACACAATTCATCAAGACAGATCCAAAACCCACAAGGGGCAGTGTCACCCTCTGGCACACCCAGGGCACCAGGGGCTGGTCAACAGTTTCCTCCATGGATGACCTGTGGATGCCAGAACCCAGGGTTATACGCACACAGCCCAATGCACTTGATGGCATGTACCCTGTTCAGGCAGAGAAGCTGTTATCCTGAAGCAGATTTGTATTGATTCCGTTACTATTAAAAGAAAAAAAATCCTAATAATTCCTTTTGTCTCCAAAAGGATCCACCACCACTTCACCATAAACACTGCTGCAGCAGGGCAGGAACCCAGCCAAGGCACCCTCTCCACCCACCAAGCCCAGAAATGAGCTATGCCAGAGCCTCTGGAAGTTCATCTAAGTAGCTTTGCATTGGCTCATTTGCTGGTGTCAGTGGGAGAGGCAATCCTGCCGTCTGTGTGGGCCGGTCAGTTTTCCCAGTTCTTGGGCAGGGCCGCGTGTTCTAGCCTGATCCTTTCCCTTTGGGACACCATGCTTTTCCCAGGGAATGGAAATGTGGCTTTGTACTTCCACAGGATCAGGATCGGGCCCCTGCCAAAAAGTCCCTGAGCACTTGGGGTTATGAGGCGAGTATTACGCTCCCAGCAGCACAGTGGAGCCTCAGAAGGGGAAATCATCCTAACCACACCCCGCCCAAGAGATTCCCCACCTGCTTCCTGTTTGGAAAGTTGGAGCTGTTCCTTGACTGTTCCTGCCCAGCTCTAAAATCTAGCCTATCACTACCTACAAAACCACATGCACGCTCTGAACCATCCCACTGTGTTAGTACGGTCCTGTCCTGGGCAGGGCAGGGCACGGCAGGCCCCACGCCTGCAGCCAGAGCTCATGAAATACAAACAGGAGTCCATAGTCCCTCCCAGCCCTGGCTGGGTAACAACTGGGGAAAGGTAGGGGTGAGGGTGGGGAAGGGAGCAAGTGTACCTGACTTGCTGTGAGCTTGGGTGCAAAGACTGGCCCTGGGCACTTCTTGCATGGCTCCAGTCACCTCTTGCCCACAGAGTAGCCCTGAGGATGAAAGCCCATTAGACCTAGGTTGACAGGGGCAGAGGTGTCACTAGGAAAGTTTGCTCCCAGGTCAGCGTTTTCCAAGCCTGGTGGACGCTCCTGTGCCCCCACTACTGCAGCCGCCGCCACTCCCCTGGGGCTCGCTGTCCCCAGCAGCAATGGATTTGGTGGCGAGAGAAGCAGCAGCTGCATGAAGGGGCATGAGGGTCCCTACAGCCAATGCCTGCTCCCTGGGCACAGACTCCCTGGGGGCGTCCATTCTGGTGCTCCCTCAAAGCTGGCGGTGTGGCGTCCCACTTGCCCACCCCTAGTTCTGCTCCTGCACAAAGGCCTTCTCTCCAGCACAGCTGGGATCCCAAGAGTCTGGGGAGAAGAGGTGAGGGGTGAGGAGGCTTCTCGGGGCCAACACCTCCCCTCAGAGCAGGGAATGAGCTCTCAGAGGGGCAGACCTCATTGCCTCTTTGTGCTGTAGGAGACTCCTGCATCCTTAGGGACAGGGGCTATAGGATGCAAGGACACAAGGTTCCCTGTTGCGCTCAGTCCAGATGAATCCCTGCCTCCTTCCCAGAGCTGTAGTACCCCCATTACCCCCCTTCTTCATGGGCCAGGGCTCTGTGCCTGATTGCTGACCCATGACCGGGCACAGTCCTGGGCCATAAGAGGGGTCTCCAGAGCCTACAGCTGGAGAAGACAGAAAAGCCTCCAGGGTAGACTCTGGAGTTTGTGGTGGGGCAACAGAGCTGAGAGGGGCTGTGAGTAGATGCTGGCTTGGGGCAGAAACTAGGGAGAGGGGAAGGTTCCCAGCCAGTGGTGAGAGGGAGCAAGAAAGACGGGCCGTAGCCAACATAAGGACCCCAGGCTGGGACAGTCTTTGGACTTCAGTGCCCCAGCATGGACACTGGGTGCTGTGCCCCCCACCCCTGGCACCCCTGCCTGACTTCCCCTCACCCACCCACAGCCACAACGCCCCCAGCTCCAGGTAAACACAGAGGGGAGGGGAAGAGACCATTACAATACAGCGTCATGAAAGACCCCATCCCCGAGAGACCGTGCTGCAAAGTTGAACTCCAGCATAACATACAAACTTTGTTCTGTCTTTGTGCTGTTAAAAAACAAACCCCCCACAACAAAAAAGAAGAAACCCCCACAAAATCCACTCTGTCTGGCCCACAGGCCACAGAGATGTTTCATCCCTGAGATTGCTTGAATACCTGAGAATAAGTTGCAGTAATTCTGTCCTTTCTCTCTCTCTCTCTCTCTCTCTTTAAGATTAAAATATACAAAAATACAAAAAACAGAATATTTATATTAAAAAAAATAACGAAGACGACAAACAAACCCAAAGATACGTCATACGCGCACGTCTTAGTGCAGGTTCATGGTGCAGCGGCTTCGGCTCAGGTGGAGCCTGGTGCTGCAGACACAGCTGTTCCCAGGAGCCAATAAATAAAGGCAGACGAGGGAGCCCTGGGGGAAGGGGAGAGGGGGAAAGAGGGCAGCAGCTTGGAAGGGAGAGATGGTCACCCTGTGCCTCCAGGCCAAGGAAAGCCATGCTGACAATGCGTATGGACTGAGGGACCAGGCCTGTGTGGAGGGAAGAGCCATTGGATGCTGCCTGGACCATATCTGAACCCACTGCAAAAGGCAGCAGGAAGCCTCCCAAGAAGCAGGCCCGACTGGCCAGAGGTTGTGTTAGACACTTTCATTTCAGATGCTCTGAGGCTGTGATGGCTTGGAAAAAAAATATATGGCTTCTTTGTGTGTCAGGGCCCAGCCTGATCTCTGTGCTCCTGTGTCATCCCCAGGGAGGCGACGTGGTCCCACGCATGTAGACAGACAGCGAGCGTCTGTCTGCCCAGCAGCAGGAGCTGCGGGAAGCAGTGCCAGCCAGGCAGGAAGGACCCCCCCCCCAGGCTGGCATCTTTCCCGTTCCTTACAGTTTGGTATTGGAAGGGTGCCCTGCAACGGGGCCGTGCACTGCTTCCGTCTGATCCGTGAGCATAGGTCTAAAAGGGAAGAGCCTGTTCTACGGACCCTCGGCTAAAGACACTGCAGAGCTGAGGTCACGTGCTGCTGGATTTGCAAGGGCTGGGTCACCAGGAGGAGCCAAAACAGGAGGTTTGGAGTACAGAAAGCTTCTGCCATCAGCTCTCTCCCCACCTGGGCCACCAGGAGAGGAGAAAGGCGGAGAGCTGGTGGCTCTGAAGCCAAAGGCCGTAAAGCAGGAGCAGGTCTCAGCCTCTGCCACTACCCTGCCATCCTGCGTGGAAAGCCTCAAAGGAAGAGGCGCTTCCCAAAGCAGGCTACAGTCAGAGGAGCAGCGTCCTGCGCTGCCCTGACTCCGAGGGGCTCGAGATGTCAGACCTTCCCCCAGAAAGCAGCAATGCAGAGCTGCATACTGGCAAGATCTACAAGGCTCACCCATGCCCAGCCCTGGAAAAGGTGGCGTGGCAGCTCTGGCTTACTGTGTATAGTCACTTCTGTGCTTCTCTGGTTCAGATGCTGCTGCTCTGCCTCCACAAAGGGTTCCCAAACCCTCCTGACCAGAGGGAGTAACTTGGAGTGGCTTTCGGTGAGGGGAGGTACAGGGTGATGGCGCTGCCCGCTCTCCCCCGAGGCATCTGGACAGAGGTTTCACAGGGCGTGGGAGAGGCTGGGATTTTGGAGCCAGCACCCCCTCTCTCCTCCCTCTGTCCTGATGCCAGCGCTGTCACCCCGCAGGCATCCCCTGCCCTTCCAAGCCGCTGCCCTCCTGCCCCATGTTCTTACCCCCAACCCCCTCACGATGGCAGAGCCTGCTCACTGCGCTTGCTTTGAAGACTGATGCCTTGTTGAAGCCTTTGGATCCTGGCGGAAGTCTCCCCCCGTCATTCCCTGGTTTCAGGAAGAAGGGGCGAGCTGTGCATTTCTTCCTCCTCCCGAAAATAGGCCGGCTTTCCCTGAGAGCTGGGCGACTGCTGGGCTTTGATGGGGCAGTTGGCGACCATGTGGGTGATGCTTTGGCAGAAGTGGCATTTCTTTGGCTGCGGTGGGAGCTTGCACTCTTTGGCATGGTGGTCCAGCCCACCACAGTTGTAGCATCTAGGATGAGAGCGAGATCCAGGGAGGGGATTAGTTGGATTGACTGTTCCCAGCCAATGCTGTTCTAACGCCTTCCCCGGGGCCTCACCTCCACATGCTTTGGGGAAATGGGGAGAAGAAGGTGGTGGGAGAGAAGCAGCCATTTTCATCCAGCAATGACACATCCCTATCACTGCTGTGAGGAATCAGGAGCTACTTGGGACTTCATAGCATCGGTCAGGGACGGGAATACTGGAATTCCTGCTCCAGGAAGGCAGGACACTGCTGTATTTTCCTCACATACAAGACACATTTTCCCCCAAAGACTGCTGCTGGAAATTGGAGTGTGCATTACATACAAAAAGTACGGTAAGAGTGGTTTTTTTGCTGCTCCCCAGGCAAAAGCGAAACTAAAAGTAAAATTTTGGACCCAGAGCAGCAGCTACTTGGTCTCTTGCTATGAGGCAAGATTGCTTTTTTTCCTTCATTCTGCCGTTCAAAAACAGCGGGAGTCTCTCATTCCCGGGCATGTTGTATGTGAAACAGTATGGCCACTGCATAGCCCCCACGCACACAGCTGCGTGGCTCCCTGCTGTGCACCGGGGAGCAGCAGACACGTAACCACACCATCTCCAGCCTGCCTCCACGGGGACTGCTCGCAGCACAGCCAGGGTGTCCCTCGCCTGACCAGTGCAGCTAGCCCAGGTGAGGGTAGCAAGGGCATGACGGCAGCCAGACCGTAGCAGCAGCTCAGGGACCAGCGTGGCCCAAGCTGACAGCCACGTTGCTGCCCCTTTGCAGGTCTGCCCGCGTCAAATCCTGCACCCTCCTGAGCAAAACTACCGAAGCTATAAAGCCGGGGGGAGAATGAAGGTTTTCTCTCTCCTCCGGAGAGGCTCAAATGCTTCCAGCCGAGCTTCTTAGGGAGGCCACAAGGGGGTAGCCTTGCCGTGCCGTGGCACCGCGGATGCACTGGAAGACTATCCAGGGAAGCCCCTGGCAAGGCCCAGGCCACAGAGGAGGGCAGGGTAGGGGTGAAGCACTGACCAGAGCCTGGCCCCCAGGCTGCAGGGGGGACTTTGCTAGGATGTCCAGCCATTTCCTGAGCAGTCACAAGGAGGAGCTTTTACTAGACAAGATGCCCCCCGGCCTCCCACCGATCGGCTGCGTGGCTACGAGGCTCCGTCTCAGGCGCAGAGAAAGGGAGCATCGGCCCATGCCGTTCGGCCCTGGGTGTTTCTGACCTCTGGCCTTTCGCTTCTGGTTTTCTGCCCTTTCCCCCGAAATCTGCATCTGCCACTCATTAAAGGCTGAAGGAAGCATCTTTCACAGAGGAAGGGCCACTGCCCACCCCCGCCCCCCGGAGCCCCATGGCAAGAGCCCTCCTGTTCCCAACGGCTCCGCGGCGCTCGGCCTCACGCCTTCCCAGCTGTGTCCTCACGGCCCAGCAGCCAGATGGGCTTTCTCCAGCCTGGCTCCTTTCTACCTTTTGTGGCGCAGGATGGGGTAACCTGCCCTTCTTTTTGAGGGTGGGGTCCCCCCCGGCAAAAGCAGATGCTTTGGCTCTGGGCAAGTTGCCAGTCCTCTATCCTAGCTGTGTGGGTGCCCAAACCTGCATCGTTCCTTTTTCCTAAATGCATCCTGGGCTGCATTTAGGGACGAGGAGGCCCTGAGTGACCAGAGGCAGGAGTGGCCCTGGCAGGGTGGGTGGCACCTGGCAGGGCAGCCTGGTGCTGGGGTGAGAAGGGAGTCAGCAGATCAGAGCCGAGTCCACAGAGAGGCTTTCGACGCCATCTCCTCCCACCACGGCAGCCCCACTCAGGGCGCCCTCCCACAGCTCCGGCACCCGCTGGTGGGCAGAGCCTGGGGGATGGGGCTGCGCACGGCGCCTGGCCCCCATCCTCGCGGCCCTGTTACCTGTCTCCCTTGGATCTGCGTTTCTGGAGGTTCTTCCCTTTCGGTCTCCGCTCACTCCCGATGCAGAAGGCGCCGCCGGGGCCCGTCACGCGGATGGACTCCAGGCCTTTGGACGACTTCTTGAAGGTGAACTCCACGGCTTCTCCTTCCTTCAGGCTGCGGAAGCCCTCCATGTGCAGCTTGCTCTGCGGGCCGGAGGAGGGACAAGGCATTGGGGGACCAGGAGAACCCCCCAGTGCCTGCGTGGGAACTGCAGGTGCATCCCCGCAAACATGTGGGGGCATTCTCCTCTGCCCTCGGGTACACTGAGGCAGACAGGTGCAGATCGCGGAGCGTGACCCCCCCCCAGAGAACAGCTGGCTGATCTGTTGGCCCAAAGAGATGCTTGAATCTAAATGCCCCGGGTGTATGGGAAGGCTGGGAAAGGGGCCTCCGGGCTCTTACTCATTGCCCCTTTGGGCCTGCCCCCACCTGATGCGGTGCCCGGGCTCCGTCCAGGTCCCAGCAAACAAGGATGGAGGTCATGAGGCCTCCTCTGCCAGCAGCGAGGGCTCAGCAGGTCTCAGAGCCTGAGCTGCCCCTCGAGGCTGAGAATGGAGGCGCAGCAGCGGTGTGGTGGGCACGGAGGGATGTTGGGGCTGCCTCGGCTCTACTGCTCCATGCAGACTAGTTCCCAGGGCTGTCGGCATCAAAGCCTGGAGTCTTGGAGAAATCCGGGTGCACCCAGAGCCACATAGGACCTGCCAGCTTGGTAGACAAGGGCCCACCAAAGCCCACGCAGGGACGAGCTCGAAGGAGATGCTTTCGCTGTGAGCCGAGCAGAGCCCCGGGCCCTCGCACTCAGCGCCTTGCCGCACACTGCCCCTCCCTGCGGGAATTATGCCTGCAAGGTCCTGAGCACCCGTGACCTCAGCCGGGTGCAGCTTGCAGGATTGGGACCCTAGCAGGAGGCCTGTGGGGAAGCACCGAACAAGCATGTGTTGCCCCAGCGCTTCCAGTGGCACCACGCGAGGTGGCCCGTGGCACTCGGGTCTTCCTTGCTTTCTGAAACAAACCCGTGAGTGGAAGAGACGTGGTTGACACCCCCGCTCCGCTCCCCGCCACGGTGCTGTGCGGCGTCATCTGCAGCAGTCAGGCCCTGTGTTTCCCTGAGCAGCTTCTCCGGGAACAGAGAAATGCAAAAGCCCTTTGCTGTCCCAACAAGCGTTGGCAGGATTTGGTAACCCCCTCCTCCCAGTTCTGAGTTCAGTTTGTCCCATTTGGGAATCCATCCCGAGTACTTTCTAGAGGCACCAAGGGGAAGAAACCAGCCAGGATCACAGCGTAACCGAAGCGGCGCGGGTTGTTTTCACCCTGCTTCTGGAGGCAATTTAATGAAATGGCCGTCGAGAAGTGCACGCCGTTCGCCCAGGATGGTTTGGAGACAAAACCCAGCCTTTTTCCTAGGGAGTCTACGAATCACGAGATCGTTTCCACTGCCCGTTTCCTAACCGGCCGCAATCCAAGGAGGCTCCATTTCAGGCGCCTGCACAGCAGTCGAGGCAAATGTAGTGTAGCCCGGCAATGACCCGTCCTGCTTCCGCAGGCTTCAGCCCTTCTGACACACGGGAGCCAGGAGGCATATTGGCTACAGACATCGAGGCGTTTCTGCGGCATCCGAGCCCCCGGCGTTCACCTGCCCGTCCATCTCCCTCCCGCCAGCTGGTCCTTGCCAGAGAGATTAGCAGGCCGCACAAAGCCACCGGTTCTCGCCGGGATGGGTCAGGTCCGGTTAGAGCCAGTGGGATCCGTTGCCCCCCCCCCCATCTGCTTTGTGGAGGGGAAGGGCAAGGAAAGAGTTAAGTCGCAATCTGGCTGGGGTGGGCATTAAAGCAATTTTCTTCTCTTTTAGCAACTCCCCCTCCCCTGGCCGAGTGACATGCTGGGGATTTCCCTGCAGCCTCCCAGGCTCCAGCTCCCTGCCCATCTGGTCCACACGCGGCACTGTTTTTTCTTCCCTTTCTTTTTTTTTTATGAATGGAGAATTCCCACCATTCATCTGTTACTCAGTAACCCGGGTCACGTGACCCCACACAGCCCATTCTTTGAAGCCCGCAGGAAAATGCCCAGTGCTGGGCGTGCAGGGTGTGTGGTGTGCGCCCGGGGAGGGGGGGATTAGATCTGCCCTTCTCCCGGCCCCCTGGCGCCTCCAAGACCCCCCTCTCCACCCCACGGGAGGGTCCTGAATAAGGCAGGATCAGGGGAGGGGGGCGACGATGGATCTTGACGGATGGATGTTCCCAGCAGGACGCGAGTGTTGGTGGGGGAGGTCTGGGTGGGTTCAGGGCTGGCAGGAGGATCTCCAAGTTCAAAGGAGGACGCGGCGCTTCTCATCTCCCCGTGCCAACAATATCACCCCTTTCCCAGCGCGGGCCCCCCGGTGACGCTGGGGAGCCCCCATGGCACTAAACAGCCCCGTCTGTGGAGCATCCTCGGGCAGGCGGCTCCAAGCAGGGCTGGGCCTGGCCCCCGCAGCCAGCGGCCTGCAGAGGTGGAGTGGGGCTCAGCTCCATCCGCTTCGCGGCGCTGCCATCTTAGAGGGGAGGTCCGGGCAGGAGAAACGAGCCCCACGGGCCCTCAGGGACGTGCACAGAGGCCTGGTCTGCAGAGGCTTCCAGCGCCCCGGCGTACAGAGCGACGCGGCGACGCCTCCCCCAGCCCCTTCTGCATCCCCTGCCCCGAGCCTCGGGGCTCCGGGCCGATGGCGCGAGGGCCTTCGCTGCCCCCCAAGCCCAGCTCCATGCTGCGGAGGGGCTGGGTTGGATGGCCAGGGCCAGGGGTTCGCTTGGCCTATGCTCCCGGGCCAGTGCCCCACAGAAGCAACAGGGTGTCACCTCCCCTCCGCGCTTCCAAAATACCCCTCGTCCCACTTTGCTCCTAAAATGTTTCCCCTCAGAGAGGAGAGAGAGGGGAAGGCTGGCGGATACCTCCGCGAGACCCCCTTTGCCTTGGCTGTCTCCAGCGCCAGGGCTGTGGCGGTGCCGGTTCCTTTTAGAGTCAGCTGCATCGCGACGCCCTTCGCTTGGGGAGGGAAGGACGCCCCTCGCTGCCTGTCCTAACCCGCGCGGGGGCTGCGGCCGAGTGGATGCTCCACGCCAGAAGCAGCCGCCTTTCCCTGCCAGGGGAGCCGGCCTGTGCCAGCCTGCAGCGATCACAAGGCGCCTTCGCCCAGCTGGGGCTGGAAGGTGCCAGCCAACTCTCTGGGGAGGCTCCCAGGACACCAGCGGGTTTACCTCTGCCCGGGCACAGACTCCAGGTGCTCTGGGACAGAAGCTGATCACGAGCTGGGGCCAGAAAGCTCATCCCATGCATCTGTTGCTTCACAACACCCCTTGCCATGCCATTTGGCGGCGGTTGGCACTGCAGCACAGCGAGGCAAGGGAACCTGCGGAGCCCTCCTCCCTCTCGGCGGGGATAGGAAAGATCCCACCGCTCCTCTGGGCAGAGGGCTTGCCCCCAGCTCGGCCCCCCTGTGCTGCGCTGCACGGAGCGCCTCCCTCCACCCCAGAGGTGGCTGCATTTCAGCAGCCGCCATGTGCTGCGGCAGAACCGTGACATATTGCTATTTGTTTTCTGGGAGAGATAAGGAGAAACCCCAACAAAAGGCCGAAGGAAACCCCTCTCCCTGGGGAGTTGGGGAGGGGGGTGGGGGGCAGAGAAAGAAACCAGGGCAGGAGCCTAGCAGCTCTCCCCCTCTGCTCCCCCCCACCCAGGGCCTTTTGAAGTGAGCTGCTGAGAGGCTGGTGGTCCCCAGAGCCCCTCCCTCCCCCCTTCCCAAAACACACACATTGTTGGCATTCCTCTGTTATCAGATAGGTAATCAAACTGAAGCCCATTGAATTAGCTGCATACCTCCTGCATCTGAAAGGAAGAGGCCCAAAGCCCCCTCCCCCTCCGGCCCGCCCCACACCACACACAAAGCAGGAACATTCCCAGGCCTTCTCCGCGACCCCCCCCCAAAAAAAGAGAGAGAGAGAAGAGGGGGGAAAGAGCAAGAGCCTAGAGAGATACTGGAAGGGGGAGGGGAGGGGCTCTGCTTTTAGTCACCAGGGCTGGACACAGAGAACAAAGAGATGTCCCTGTCCACTGCTCGCTGGCCGGATTCCAGGAGTTCCCGGGTCGCCATGGGGGGAGGGCGGCCGGACTGGACCCTGCGCATCTGCATGTGAAAGGCCGCGCTGCCCCCAGCCACCCTGCACGGGAGACGGCCCACCGGAGCCAGCGCCGTGGCCGTTTCCCCTCAAGTCGCTTCTCGGCCTCCTGGGTCGAGACCCAGCGAACCCCAGGGTTGCGTGCAGGATGCCCGCCTGGGTGTGGGGAGTATGCAGAGCCCCAGACGGATGGGCCCAGGAGGAAGAGGCTCGCCGCGCAGCTCTGCTCGGTCAGATTTTGGAGCATGAGCGTCGGGCTTTACTCAGTTGAATTCAGAGCTGATCTGCCTTTGAACAAGATAGGCTCTCGGCAGACTCAGGCAGGCTTTGCCTCATCGTGTGTGTTTTACCACCCGAGCAGAAAGGCTGGCAGAGCGGGATCATTTCAGGGCCTCCGCGCGCCTAGGGGCCAAGGGTCTCTTGTCCTAGCGTGGCCCAATCCAAGCCCCAGTTGTCTCTGGACACAGGGCCCGGCCTGCTTCTCCCCCCTGCACCCTGGGGGCAGCCCCCCATTCTCTGCCCCGGGCTCTGACAGACGCTCAAGCACCCCCTGGTGTCAGCCCCCCGCTTCTGTGCCCTGCCACCTGCGTGAAAAACTCTTCCACAGGCCGAGGACCTCAGCCCCACTGTCTCGCATGGACCTGTTCGCTGCTTTCTCTGCCCCAAACGTCACCCCCATTGCCCCGGTCTCCCTCACTCCAGGGAACAGGCACCCAGTCTTGTCCACCCTGTCTGCCCCCCCGCCCAGGTCCTCTTCCTTGTGGGACACGCGTTGCTCTTTGCCGGAGGCGCCTTGCCCCAGCAGTCATCTCAGCTCCTGGGATGGGAGACACGACCTGCCCTGCTTCCGCTTTCTCCCCAGCTGCTTGCACTCCTAGCGGGACTCCCTTCCACAGCCAGCACCGTGGTCATGTCACTGGAAGGTCCCCTTTGGGGGGGAAGCATCCTCGGCAGGGCCCAGCTGCGGTGGACATACTAAGAGCAGCTGGGGGCTGAACAGTCACCGCGGCGTTTCCCCCTCATCTTCAGCAGTGTCGCCGGCCATCCCCGAGGGCTCCTTATTACCAAA